AGCTGTGCCCCTTGAGACAGCCAAGAGCTGTGCCAGTGTGTTACTGATGGCCAGTGCTGTGAGTGTGGCAGGAGAGTGATCACCTGGAAGAGACACTCAATAAGGGCCTTGTCTTCAGAGGGTGCTCACAGCCAGAAAATGCAACAAGGAACCACAAGAAGCCCCAGCCTAATGGAAATAAAGAATTTATCTGGTGGTAAGACTGGATGTATATCCACAAGAATGAATGTCAGTGTTACCCTGCAGGCAACCTTCCCAAAAGTAAAGGAAAAGCTTAATTGAGATTAATGGTCTTTTTTGCTGAGGCCCAGGGGAAGTCCTAACAAGGCAATGTGTTAAACAGTGAATGTAATTTATAATACATGCAAACTTTGGAAGATATACATAGCATATGACACTGAATGAGAAATCTCTTATGCCTTTCTCACGCTGCTTTTTAGAGACACTTTCCCCTGTTGGATTTAAAGTAGCATTCAAGTTTCTATTTTTTGGAAGGCCAACATGCCTGCTTTATGCACCAGCATAATTGAAACTCTTAATTATGTCACACTGAGTAGGCACTGCTTCAAACCAGTTTACACTGTGGCCACAGATGATAGACTTCTACAATCTAAGCTAAAGTAATTGTACTTACATGTGTTGATTCTGCTTGCAGTAACATTTTTTCTAGGTTTTCTTGAATGTTAAACTTAGTTTTTCTCCATTTCCTATCATCTGCACTGATCTTACATATTTGTGCTCGCACAGTCGTGACACAACACCTTTCCACAAAAAACAAGGCCATAAATTTTTATACAGTAATTCCTGCATCAAACCAACCATTTGTAGATGAACCAGACTGGTATCCTGTTAAAAGGTATGTAATTTGAGAATTTGAATTTGATATTATAGAGATTTAAGCATTTATGTAAATATCCAACACACACATACTTTTAAGGGTAGGGGAAAATAATTTACTGTTTCTTTCACCATATACTTGTTCAATATTATTCTTCAACTGTCCTGAAAAAAAACAGTCATCATCATGCAAAACTTATTGTTTTCTGATACACACTGAGCATGGGCATGCACCCATTCTTCTCATTTATACCAATACATATAAATACATTCACAAATACACATCTCAAGTCGACTTATCCAATCTGAAATAATTACATTCAGATGCTGAACAGAGTACTTATACATAGTAGAAATAATTCAAGGTCTTCAGTTTTTTCTTTTATCATCATTACCAAACAGTGTTCCATTTTCCCCCAGTAGACAGAATTCTACTGAAACAGAGAACCAGAACTTTTCTCTGACTTTACCAGGTCTACTTAAAATCCTCTTCTTGCATCTTACCTTCTAACCAAAATTTTAATCTTGCTTTGTCCAAAAGTCTGATTCTTTCAAATAGTCAAAAGAAACAGAAATCCTTCTATGTTTTGCAGCCATCCTTCCTTTCATCATTTGCTTTCAGACAGTGCTTGCATTTTCTCATCTCCTCCTCACTTAATTGCTGTTCTTGAGTGAGCAGTACTGCCAATTCATGTATCATCACCCTCAGCACAACTGTCACAGCTTGCAAATCATAAAACATTACAGGAGAAATCCAGGCAGGTGTAATTCTGTTGACCACAGAGAGCTGTGTTAACTACCCACAGCCTTGTTGTGGTCCTAACATTTTACTGAATAGTCTGTGCATAAGCTGCACATTCCTTAATACTCACACCATACAATCATCTTCCATAATTTTTAGTGCTCTACATGATGGTATTTGTATGCTACACTAATTGACTTAATAAGTTTCTTTGAACGTATTTTTCTCATGACCAATTTGTTTCATAAAATATTTAACTTAAAAATGAAACTGTTCTTAAGAAAACTCGTCCTAATTGAAGGATTTTCATCCTACCCTAAAGCAATCAAAATAAAATTTCCTATACACTGTTAAAATCAATGACAATCCTACAGATAATGCATAGAGCAGCAATTAATCAGAATTTATCTATACCATGAAAAAAAATTATATTTTAATGAATTCAAAAGGTACTCTTATTTTTCAATCTATTTGGTGTAAAAAAACTAAAATTATATTATCTCCTACAAGAGAATAGTGGGTTACCCCAAAGCATGGTCTAGAATCCAAGATTTTAAAGCACATTTTTCATATTACATACAGTACTAATGTCTCAACAATCCTGTCCAAACTGACCAAGGTTCTGTGCTTGTGGTTCTTCCTCAGTCACTGTTGGTACAAGCTCATATTAAATTCACAATTAAATTAAGTAGCTGCCTTAACATTTGCCTTACTATTTTTAAGGTGAGGAATAATGTTGCATGGCTTTTGTCTCATATTCTTAAGGAAACAAAAGATCTCACAAAAATTATATGAGAGAAATTAGTAATTTTTAAGATAAACTTTTATTGAAAAATTAAAACTGCATCGCATAACTTCTTTATTACTTCAACATTTCTTAAACCACAAAACAGAGATTCTGTTTAAAAAATCCCTTCATATTTGTCACCATTCAAAAAACAGATTATGAGCTAACTTCATGATGATTTTAAAATTCTGGATTATTCCCAAGGCCCCTGCTTCTGGCTGTCTGCCATGAATGGTATAATCTATCTTCTCTAAAAATTACCTTTAATAACACAGTCAGAATTTTTCTCATTCAAAATCACCAGCTGCTCTTGATTTTTATTCAGTGGTCAGTCTTTTCCAAATAAATGATATCATTTCATAAGCACTGCAGCTACCTGTTCAGCTAAGATCTTGCCTATTGTTTAATTGATCTGAATTCACCCATGCAAAGTTACAGTGATTGTCCCTGTGATATTAAAGGCAAAATTGCTAGCTCAGAGTGTATTTTAAACCTCAGAAAAACAAAGTTGCTCACCTGGAGTTAAAATGCTTTACATTAGTCAATACTCCTGTATATCCATACATCCTAATCTCTCACAGTCAATAGTATATGGATTTAAAAGAAGCAAAGTTCCAGGTCAGTGTTAGTCTGAGAAGCTGTGGCATTTTACTCAGATGAAAATGACCTAATAAGAAAAAAGATGAGTTTTCTCACTAATGACTACAACTGCTCTGTTAAAATCAGTTAACCAAGTCAGAAATTATTACGAGCACAGTGCCTGTTAAACACAGTATATTTCATAGGAAAACACCCCAGAATCTGATATTAGAATCAAAAGCTTTGCAAAAATCCAGTTGTGGTCATCTGTGTCAAGACACAACACTGCAGAAAAACAAGACAAATGCAGAGGGTAGGAAGATAAATCTAAGCCCTCTGTCTTTAGAGACAACACCAATGCATTGACTGTCTCTCTTCCAAAACAAGCAGGAGGAGCGCCATTATTCCCACTCAGCCGCAAACCATCAATGGCAAAAGGAAGAGCCTCTGATGCTTTTAATCTTCAAAACACAAGGTACTTCATAAAAGGAAGAAGCAGAAATGTTAGTGAGCAAAACATTATACATGCACTGAGGAGGTCTAGATCTGTTTCTGACTGCATTTCAGAACTGTCAGGCGTGTGCTGTGTGAATGCCATCAGCTGTATTCTGGTCCTTCCTACAGCTTCATGATCAGGATGAAGATGTTTCTCTTCACCTCATTTATTTGCTTCAAGGAGAATTAACAGCTCAGATACATTAAACTACTATTAGAATGTTGAGATGGTGATCTGGTTATAGGGTTCTTGAGGTTAAAATATTAAGGTTAGAGGACTGAGGGGAAGATGGAGCTTTAGTAATACCATTATTGACAAGGGAGATGGAGGAAATCAGAAATTCCCACCTAAGAACTGGGGAAATCATAAGAACCATGGCATTTGTGTAGAAAACCTAAAATCCTCTAGTGAAGCTAAGTCACCAGTTATGTGTCTTTGGATTAATTATATTAGTTCATATTGTTTCTCATGAACAAGAAGGACTAAAAGAATTTTTTCAATCTTCTATAGCTGCCCTTTGAATAAAGTAAAACTGAGACCAGATTTCAGACAGAAGTCTGAAATAAAAATGTGACATGTGCTTCTTCAAAACAAGCTTCTTTCTGTACTCTAAGAACAGTTCTCAATGAGAGGTCTTCTAGTTTTGATGAATAGCTGGTATCTATAAAGTTTGGCATTCAATATTATGGAAGTTATCACTAAAGTCAATGTTTATGCCAACTACACCTGTACTGCAGGCCTCAGGTCATACAGCATGGATGTTTCCATCAGGAAATGTCAAATATTGACTACAAAGTAATACAGTAGGCTTATAATTGAGCAAGATTGAGGTTTGAGATGAAGAAGGCAAGAAACCAACAAAGAAACACTGTCTTGAAAAAAATCTAATGAAAGGAATACTGTATTGGTAAGATTACTAGGGGGTTTCATGATATGGAGTAACAATCCAGATCGATTTAGAAAGTCATACTCATAAATCTAAAGGTCAGTGACAAATTTACAATAATTTTTAGCTTCAACACGATTTGAAGAAAAGATTTTACAGAAGATTTTGAAAGAGGAATAAGCAAGAATTCTATGAAAACCTGGAAAGGCTGTGCTGTAGGAGACAGCATTTACTGTAACAGCTTCTTCCTTCTCCCTTTGCTAACACAAACCTGAGACACCATCCTCAAAGGACAACCAGTGGGACCTGCAGGATGGAAATCTCTCTTACCTGTAGCTGTCTTTCCACAGGACTGACAGGGGCCAGAGAGACTGCAAAAACTGCATGGCATGACTGTATTTCACTGAAAGTTTCTAAAATAATTCAATTTTATTACTGAGGTGGAGGGGAAAAAAGCAATTAATTACTGCTTTGCAAAGAATCACGTGTGAAAACACTTGAAATTAGCATATTCCATTTATCACCATGACACTAACTCAGTGAACAGAGGATTATTGAATCTCCATTTTGTTCCACTACTGTGTTTCTAGTATGGACTTTTCCACTCAGTAATATTGATTAGCTATTGATTAAAATTGATCAAGATGCAGATGATCAGATGATGCAGACTTTGAAAAGACTAACCAGTTGAAATTATTGGGACAAGCTGGCTGTATTAAAAGATACTGAGATTACTTTTGGTTTTATTTATTTTATAAGCTCCAAATTCCATTTTAGTGAAATTCCATTTCACTAAAAGAATGATGTGGTTAAAACTCCCACAGAATTTAGTTAAAATGGTCACAGAGGTCAGTTCTGAAATAAAACTCAAAACCAGGGGCCTTGGTTAGCAATCAATATTGACTAGAAAAGCATTCAGAACACAGAACAGTTTGACATTACAATAAATAAAAGTGAAATTTCTAATAATTCTAATAGATTAAAGGGATTCCATGATTTGATAGTCTACACACAATGTCAGAATTCCTTATCTTCAGTAAAATTATCTGTAAGTTATACTTTAAGGGCACTAGGATTTAAACAAAAGTGTCAACTAATATTTTCTTATTTTTTCTTTGGCTCACAAAGACACTAAAATACCATAAACATTATTTAGAACTTCAATAATATATAAATAGGTTACATTACAAACGGAAGAAAATACAAGACAACTCTTCAGCATGGTAAATCTCTGCATATAAATAAGCAAATGTTTCAGATACCTACAATTAAACAGTTATCTTGCTGTAAAACTATTACATTTAAATCCTTTTCCACAAAGTAATTTAACAATAATATACACAATCTACACAAATTAACCTCTAAAAATACAGCAATAATATACCTGTTACAATGACTCTGCTACTGTCATCCCCTGATTTGACACTAAAGGGCAAGTACAACTATTTTACTCAAAGGTGCTCTTAGAGATTGCTGTTTTGTATGTGAGAAAAGCACCAACAATAAGATCTAATAGTGTTATACATTTTCTTTAGCTCCTAAGAATCTACATTTTAGAAATGTTTCTATATGTCTATTTCTGTCTGGCAGAAAAACTTGTAGCACATTATCCACATCAAATTTGTTGAAGGAAAACTTAATTTTCTTAAAGTGGAAAACATGCTGTGGCTTTGATCTAACTTTATAACCACTTTATATATATATATATATGTATGTATATATAATAATATATATTTATTTATACTGTACATATATACTGTGCAGAGTTCTTAATTTGCTATTTTAATATCTATTAATTTTCTGCTGTCTACAATAAACAAGACCAATGTAAGAGTCAATAGTACTTCAACTTCAAGATAATACATTTTCCCTCAATAATATGATCTACCAACACATATATATTTCAGTAGCCTATAGTTGTTTTGTTTAAGGATGTCTTAGGAGATTGCAACTTACAGAATTTCCTTTAAACATGTTCTGCAGAACTGGGTTTAAAAAATAGCCAGTGCTGGAAAACAGTGAATTCAAGAAATAAATCATTCAACCACTACAGCTCCTGCCCCAGCCTCTCAATTTCCTCAATGAGGAAGTCAATGTCAGACTTGGTTGCTGCTGGGTTTGAGATGACCATTCGGAAGAAGTTGACTTTATCGCCCTGAGGCTGATATCCAACCATGGTGGTGCCTGACTCCATCATCAATGCCTTGATTTTTGGTGCCACCTTTATCATAAAAAAAAAAGATCACAAAAAGAGAGAGAGACACACACACACAAAGAGAGAAGAAAAAAATTATTCTTTCCTTGTATATCACAGCATTTCTTAATTCAGAAAAAAGAAATTGACAAGCATTTGTTGTTTTAATAAAAGATGTCTGTAACAAGAAAAAGCTTGAAAAACTAAGTAAGATTGGCTAATTAAAGAAAAATTGACAACAATAATATCCATCTTTTTGATTTACAAATTAATAGTATTCCAGAGTATTTGCTGTGTAATTATTTTATATATTAAATGTATATCTCATTTCTTTGTGCTGAAGATTTTGTCATGATGAAACATTTTCTGCTTCGGTATGAATGTCCACTCCAGACCTTCCTGAGGGTAGTGGATATTTTCCATGAGAATATTATGTATTCTCAAAGCATTTTATATGGGGGGACAACAATGGAAATTTTTCAATAAGATCTATGTAATAAAGAATATTTTTTGTTAGGAAAAGCCATGGAAACCTTCCAGTAATTTTGCAGTACTGTGCATTTACCACAATCTCACTTCCTCGGTTTAATTTACAAGGAATAATGTTCTGACAGTCTTAATATTTGGTATTGACTAAGCCCAGTTTTTCCATCCAGACTTTCATTCTCCTGCTCTACTCTCTGCCAGGCAAGGTCAGATGTCTGGCTCTTTCACTGTTTTGTAGAATGCTTTATGATGTCCTCTAACATTTAACAGGGTTAAATCAAATATTTCATCCCTCTTGCTGTTTCTTACTTCTTACCGCTATCTTCCTCTATTCTCTCTTTGTTTTGGCAATTTCTTTATCTAACATGGGACTGGCTTGACTCAGGAATTTTACCCAGGAATTTCTAGTCCCTTCTATTCTCTTCCCCCATTGTGATGCAGCCATTAAAACCTCTACAAAATCTCCCAAGTTTGCTCATTCTTCTCCCTTCCATAACAAACACTCACACATACAGACACAAAGAGCAATTATTTTTGACACTGTGATATCATTCTTTTATCTCCTGAAAGTATTTCATTCCTCTTCTGTCTAAAACATTACTACAAAATTACTGTATTTTGCTTCCCTCAGGTCCTGAATAAGATATCTTTTCTGGTGGTGCTTCTATGATGCCTTCCCTTTCTTCTACTACTTCAAATAAATATATCCCAAAGTCCTCCAAAGGGTATTCATTTTCACTGATATGCATTAATGCATTGGCATTTAAAATCAGAATAAATACCTGAGAAGGAACTCACAGGTTTTCATGTCCTTTACCTGTCCAAGCATTTTCAAACAATTACCCTCTGTTTCTCTTGTAGATAAGCTGTCCTATCCAAAGAAGATTGTGATTCCGTAGGCCTAGCTACTTTTTGAAGGCTTGTAACACTTTGAGCACAGGATAACTGAATATGTTCTGAATCTGGTTCTATAGGGAAAACATTTCTTGAACATCAATATAAATGAAAGACACAAGTGAACAAATATCAAGGTCATTACAAGCAATGGAGAACTGACATCTCAGAATTTGGAATTATCCTTTTACATTTAACCAAAAATACTTACCCTGTGTAGCTTTTCTCTTCTCTCATCAGAGTCTGGCATGCCCCTGAGACTTGGAGGAATATACCAAAAACATACATTTGTATGCTCTGGCTGCAAAAAGAACCAAACATATGCATCAATTAAAAAAATTATACAGCTCATTCCAACACTAAAGGCTAGTCAGTAGCATATTTTATCACAGACATGAAAGACAAAATATAGTATTAACTTTCCTAGTCCTGCATGTTAAACAGCCAGAAATGGATTACAGTACTGCTGCTTGCCTCTGCTGCCTTAGATTCCCTATATATTGTCCCATTTGCAATATTTAGGTTGCTAATGAAGTGCAAGTGCTTTTCACCCTTGTGCAGTTCTATGAGTAACTGTTTTTCAGGATCACAGCAAGGGCAATCCAATTTTCCTTTCCTCAGCAAAGGGGGAAATGAAGTTTATACTATGATCCAAAGGTTTCTGTACTGGCTCTGGCAAAAGAATATACAGTAAAAATAGCAGATTCTCAGTTAGGTACTAATAATCTCAGTATGAGTAGGTTGTATTAAAGCGTTCTTCATGCCCTAAACTGAGAAGGCTTCTGTGGAAGAAGAGGAGATAAACCTGACATTTATGATACAAAACCACATGTATTTGACAAAAAATCTGCTCAGATGCCAATAGTCAAGTAGTTCTTTAGAAAATCAGAGCAGTTTTGCATAGCTGTCCTGAAGAACTGTGAGAAGCATGAAGACAGATTTGGCTCACACATATGTGAAAGCAAACTTACCTGCCCTTCAAATACCATCTCAAATTCTTCTCTGTTTTTGATTTTAGTGTAGAGATATTCTGCCAGCTCCAGGCATTTATTGATCTGATTTTCAAATCCTACTGTACCCTATTTTAATAAGAAAGTAGGTATTAGTTATATGGTCATTTCTTTTCCTGCTCTGATGCAATCACCTTTTCAGATAAGTTTCACTCTTAAATATTTTCAGGCAGAAAACATTTAGCAGTATTATTTCTTGTAACTTAAAAGTAGCATTAATCAACAGTTAAAAAGTGGCTAAAAGTGGCCCAATTGTAAGTCACTATTTTGTTTGTCTCATTTTAAGAGAATTTATTATGAAAATAACAAGGGCTTTCACTATTTTTAGTAGATTATTTTCGGTCTTTTATATTTTTTGGGCTTCCAAAAATATTATGGATATTATGTCCTGGCTTCACAGCTGCTGCTGAAAGACCAGAAACTTAGAATGGGAATTCAGTTGAAAGTGTAAGAATTGGGAAGTAAAATATTTCCTCTGAACAGTTTGCTAGAAATGTGCATTTAACCAGCAAGCAAAAGTCTGCCATACGTTTACTATGTCACTTGCCTACCCACTGATATCTTGTCAAGGTCATAAAAAGTATAAAGTATAGAAAAAGTATATGAATATTGATAATAAATAGTTGGGGTTTTTTTTTAAGTACACTTTGTACATGAATGAAGAAGCAAGCATTTTCTCCCAAAGTGAAAATTGGTTTATGATTTTAGAGTTTATCATTAGATTTCATATCAATTTTATTTTAAAAATTAGACTCTGGACAGGTTACCCAACTGAATTCCCATTTTGCCAGCAGAAGATAAAGAATAACAGTAATGAGATGACTGCAGATAAAGCAATAAAAATGGAATGTGTTTTCTTGACTACATGAATCCTCATCTTGTGAACATGTAAGCCTGGACAACAGCCCATGCTTAAATGCAGCCATCCAGGCATACCACAGTAGTACCAGAATAACTGTGGAATTGTCACTTGGGCAATGCTTGCTCAGAAAAAGGCCTTTTTTTGGTTTAAAAAGCCATTTATAAAATCTCTGCATTGAAATGTCATATTCAAAGGACCCTTGTAAGTCATCAAGGCTGCTCTGCTGTTACAAGTAATCTGTCATAAAATACTATCCAAGTGTAGAGCATCACAGCAAGAGATCATTTTGGTGCCCTGCACTCTATGGTTTTTCTGCAGGACTCATCTAGTGACTTAAATCTTTCTTCTAATTGCCATCTGAATTTACCAACAGCTAGCATTGTTCTACAATTCACATAGTACCTTTCTGAGTTAATACTTGGATATTTCTGTGTTTAGAGATTGCCATGACACAAATATGTATGTTAAAATGAAGTATTCCATTACATGACACTTAGAAATTAAATAAATGCATTTCTGGTTTTTGAGCTAAACTTTTGTTATTTACCTTTGCTTTCCACATCAACCAGAATTTGAAAATGTCTACATGCCGACCACACTGTATTGCCTTATCTCCAGTGTCATAGGAGACATCATACTGCTTGTCTGGCTGGAAGAGATAGCCTGCACACATTTGATTGCAGCCCTGAAGGATACCCTACAACAAAAAACATGTACACTTACATGACTTACCTGGCATTTGTGCATGAGAGAATGTACACATTAATAATGTATAAAAATGTATTTCAAACTTGTACAGGAGGATTTTTCTTTGATGGGACATATTATAACATACTGACCTTGTTTTGCAAACCTGAGCCACAAAAGTAATTTCATTAACCTAAGGTGGTTCTCTTAGAAGTCTCTGAGTAGCCATATGGTCTTACACACAGAAACACCCCCCTGAGAAAACATTCACAGATTAATTTGGAGACTTACTTTGTGATATTAGCTTTCACCACTTCAATTTATAAGGCTATGTTCTTTAAACTTAAATTTATGATTTGTTAAATTACCCGCTAGAATAAAGCTGTGGTCTCTCAATGCAACTGATTGCTACACAAAATGGAGTGAAAAATGTAATTGAAGGTTTAAACTTTGAATGTTGTTCAGCTTTATGACACTTAACATTAGGGATAAGTATAAGCACAAATAACATAAACTGGACATTTTTTGCATATAAATAAATATGGTTCACAGACCAATAGAAATCTAGGGACTACTGGAAAAAATGCCTGGTGGAAACACCGAGCAGCAAATTCCTTATGTTACACAGAAGTCTTATATGTGACGTTTCCAAAATGGTTCACATTTCCTTTAGAAATTCCTTAAAACTGCTTTTTGCAAGAAACTTGAAGACACCAGTGTGTCTCATAAATGCAAAAACATCTATCAAAGTTCTCATACAGAGAACAAAAACTCTTGCCAGAATCCTGCAATAGCTGGCACAATAAGCATGCATGCCACTAAACAAAGGCTTGTGCTTCCCTTCAATAGATGTGTTTTACAAAGGGAAATAAACGCTGCAGTCCTCAGTTTAGAGATGGATTGGTTGGAAGAGCAATGGCAGACCTAGGGCTGCAGCTTCCAATTCTTCCATCCCAGTTCTATACACAGGGATTACTGCTTCAGCTAAGTGCCTCTAGTAGCAACTGGCATACAAGAGGTTAGTAGGCAACACCATTAGTCCTATCCACATGTGATACCACATATGATACGATTTTTTTTAATAATTTAATAAAAATACGTACTGCTTAAAAGAAACAAGACACAAGGTTTTTCTTTAATTGATGACAACTAAGAATCTAGATGCTAGCCCTAAGAGTCATAATAAGACCAGCATGTTTTCTTTTCAACAGAACTGGGAAACTTCTAAACCACTGTGTAAGGTAAAAACTTGCTTCTTAAGCAGTTTAGACTGTGACCAAGTACTAAAGCAAAGGCTCTATGTTCAATGTATCATAGAAACAAGGGGGCAGGTTCTCAGTACATTAGCATGGCTCTGTTGTTGGTATCAGAATATGCAAAGATCCAACAGGTGAGGATCTGACCCATGTTGTCTACTACTTTAATTTAAAAGAGCCAAAACCCCTAGGACAGATAAAACAACTTCCAAAACACAATGTAAATCCACACAATTATTCCTTCCAAAAGAAGTTTTGAAATAAAACAGATTTTGCAGTACCCTCTTAAAAAGTAGGGCTTGATATTTATTTTTTAAAAAAAATGTTTAATTATTAAATATAATGCAGACCTTCTCCCGGACAAGAATGGCAGAACATTGTAACAACACTCCCATCATCTTGTGTGGATTCCAAGTGACTGAGTTGGCTCTGCAAAAAAATTACACATTCAGATAGGTTTGGAAAACAGAAACTTAATCTGAAGCAGTCACCTTTGTTTTCTGCTTTCAGCTGGAAATACAGGGAGTTTTGACCATGATGATATCACTATGGGTGTTATTGCTTTCTTAAGTGTCTTCTTTCCCAGCTATGCTGTCTGGGAAAGGAATTTTTTTCATGTTAACATTGCAATATCAGACTTGTGATTATTTTATATTATTACTAATACCAGTAATATTACCAGTACCAGTTAATAAGTATCAGACTGATTAGCTGATACAGTAACATCGTCCCCAGATGAGTTCTCTTCTAGAAATAGCACTAATAAAAATAACAAAACCTCTTTGATATGTTCTATTGATTCAGGGTACTGATTGGGAAAGTGGGGTGTCAGACAATTAAGGGACTAATATGAATTGTGGGAGAATACAGTTCTTTACTGAACAGCTGCTGGAAAAATAGAAAGGAAATAAAAAGATGTTCTGCATGCTTACCTGCTTTTCCAGTTAGAGCCACAGCCCTTGCTTGTCAAGCCTGTGGACTGTTAAAAGGCTCTAAAACCTTACATCTTATCCTACCATTCTCTATGTAAAGCTTAAAATTTCTTACATGTAAACACAAGTCAATGCACAAGATCATCTAATTTACAACTCAAACAGATGTTCTGTATTTTAACATACTATCCTAGACAGTTTAATGGTGACACTGAAATAAATGTGCCAACGTTGCACATCCATTGACCTTTCCACCCCAAGTAATTAATTACCAAGTGTCCCCTTGATTCACTGCATGTTCCAGAGAAGCAAAGTTCATAATTGTATTTCACAGGCTATGCATGTGTTTTTACAATGTAGTTGAAAGAAAATTAAAAGGTATTTCCTCCTCTCTGACACCTTGCTCTCAGAGGACACAGACACAACCACAGTTTCTCTGTTTTGAGGAACACAGTGATGTCTTCACCCCAGTCTGAGGATCACTGATTTCCAGATACAATTCCAATCCCTGTATGTGCTAGATTAGACTGTAGCAGCCCTCAGCTGAAGGAACAGTGCAGCCTGTGCTGTACCTGGGGAGCTCACCATCCATCTGACATCAGCTGCTTATGCAGTGCAAACCAGCAGATAAATAGCTCAGACTTATCTTTTAGAAAAAGTTCACTAATAGTTCAGATGAAGCAGTCAGGAAAATGGAATTTATATAACAACTTGTTTCCTTTTGAAAACACCACGCCTTCAGTTTAGCACATTCATTTAACTTTCAGGGTTTCAAACAAAGACAATTTCAAGTCGCTCCTCACAAGGAGCATTAGGTTTATGTTAACACAAAGCTGTCGCTCTCTCCTCAGTGCAGCCCCCAGGCAGAGTCTGTCCCACCACAGGCAGTCCCAGCTCTGTGCCGTGGCAGCATGCCAGCCCTCCATGCCAGCGTGCCCAAGCTGGCCAAGTACAACCTGTGTTATCAGGAGAGCCCAGCTGGGGCCCGTGACAGGCAATTACCCCATGCATGTGGGCCCCATCCCCTGTCTGAAACCTGTATAGCTGACTGGGAAAGAAATCATTTCATGCTTCATAGCCTGCTGCTTTCTCTATTTACTTAAAATTATGGCCTTAATTAGCACCTTAGGGTTGACCTCAGGTCAAAAGGGGTGTGCCAAACTCCTGTGACCAAACCTCTGTATCTTAAGAAAATTATTTTGCAATGCTGACTTAATATTAGACATGTTGCCGTGACTCACAAGTAAATTGGGCTGGGCAAATGTTGATTGGATTCTGCTGCTTCAGGGTACTCCACATCATATGCTGCTGTCCTTGCAACAGAAAGGCCCCCATGGTTTTGCTGCCAGTCCTTCCATACACTATCCTTGATGTTGTACTTATTCTTCACTTACTGCATGAGATGCCCACACCTAGGACAGTTTGTTTGCCCTAAGGAAGAGCATTGCTCACTATACTCATTTTACTATTTTACACAGTGCCATATTCAGAATGGCCAACTCAAGGGAGTAATTTGATGCTAATTAAAAAGTACATGGATAGAGCTTGCTTCAAATATTTTTTTTCTTCTCTGAAGGCTGATAGCTGCAATGATGGAAAAGATCTAAAGTTTGTGATTCTTCATTGCTTTTCGGATTTTTTTCAGATGGGCACCATTTTATGGTTGAGTGCTTTCAGTGAAAATCTAGAGATCAACACACCCATGGGATTATAAATATAGCATCTTCTACAGACTTGTCATCGTTGGATATGGGTACAACTGTGCCAAAGACTATGCCTGGAATGAGTCCTGAGTCAAAATTGTAAGAACCAGTGGGAGGGTCACATTCTCACTCTGCTGTCACTACCAATACAAATGCTTTGCCTCTTCAAGTTTGATTCAATCAAAGGCTGGCTTCTGGTCTCAGTGGGCATCTTGGTAAACTGGGTTACCTACCTGGGGGTACACACATGCTCTTTTCTCCAGACTTCAGTCTGACCTCAACAAGAGCTTCCTGCTTGCGTCATGTAATCCCCACATGGCACCAACACACAGGCCCCTGTGTCTTCAGACAGGTGACATCTGTGACCCTTTCTGGCCTCCCTGTAAATGACCTCAGTCTTCTCCATGGTACAGCAGAAGTGTAGCAGCTCTGTCTATCATAGTCCTTTCAAGCCTTAAAGGTACTGAAACTTGCCCCTGAAAATTGCTGCTAATTCAGTATCTACCTCCTCTCATTGTTGTACACACCACTCTATTTGTGTGTGTGTTTGTGTATAAATAAAAGTGATATAAGACTAAGCATATGTATGTGTTCCATTTACAGAACTCATGAAAATACACTTTCTATTTTCCAGAAAACCTGCAAACATCTTTCAGGAGAGAACCTCTACAAATTCCCACTGTGGGTATTCATGCTCAAACACCTTCCCTGGATCCCTCACTTATCACTGGTATTCTCAAAGCCCTACATTTCAGAGATTGTCTAGCTCTCACACTTCATTTTTTTCTTCAAATACTTCTCCATCCATTCCCAGACTTATGATCCCTCCAAAGCTATTCACAGAACAACCTCAGTTCCTTTTTGCCAAGTAATACCCTTGTCTTCCTTCAAATCTGCTGAAAACTTACCTCTCACTCAATGGTACATCACAGATTTCTTCTGTAGCATTGTTTCCATCTCCCTAGACTGAACCTTTTCCTTTTGCCTCACTATTGTTTAATTTAGTGTTTAGACTCCTCCCCGTAGCAAAGGAACATTTTCATGAATTGCTGAAGTGCCATGTACCTTGTGAAAGTACTTTAAGAACAGAATTAAAAAGAGGCCCTGGGTAGTACCTTTCTATTCCACTCAGTTTGTGACGGTGCTTTCGGGACATTAAGAGTCCACCCCCCCAGGCAGCCTGGAAGAGACAGGAAAATCAGAAGAGTCATTTTTTTGGAAAAGCTCAACAGATTTTAGTTTACTCAGAGTCTAGTAATAAATATTTTAATTCAAGAAAAAAAACCATGTAAAGTGAGATCCTCTTTTGCCCCACTAGCAGCGCTTTTTTGTTACTTACATCAACATGGAGCCAGAGGTTGTATTTTTCACATATATCTGCAATCTCCTGTATTGGATCAAAGGCTCCATATACTGTTGTGCCTGCAGTTGCATTTACAAAAAGAGGAACGTATCCCTACCAAAAAAAAAAAAAAAAAGTCAACTATAAATTGAAAACACTTTCAGAGAGAGAAAGAAAAAACAAAAATAAAAATAATTCCAGAAATATTATCTCATTTTGTAACCTAAAAATGTTTATAAAGAATATTATTTTGTTCAATCTCTTTCAGTGAAGAGATTCAAATAATGTCATGGAAGATTAACAATATTCAAGTAAATTTGGGACTTTTACAGCAGTATAAACAAAAATTAATTAAATATGATTTGAAAGTCATTATTTCAAAGCTTGAAATTGTTCCTTTAGTCCTTATCTACTAATAAACAGAACAAAGCAGAACAAAGCAATCTAAAACAAAAGCAATAAATGAGAAACTATCAGATCAAAGAGAGACAGTTTTGAATTAGATGAAATAAATGTGAGCTGCTATTTCATAGAGTTCCCAAATATAAAGAAATTAAGAAATAAAAAAAAACCCCCTTGATTTCTCTTTGGTTATTTTATTAAAAATCCATGGGGTTTCCCACTGCATTGATTGAAGAAATAGCAATTAATGCCAAAAATTTATTCTTATTGTCTATATTTAATGAATATACGTGCTACTTACATGAAATCTATAGGATTTTTAAGGGCTCTCCAGAATCTTTTATGGGTTTGGCTAAGTTTAAAAGTTCAGATAAAAGATTTTGTGTTTCCATGCTTGTTTCCATATATTTCCACACCGGAAGTTATTTTTAAAAATCATGAGCTACAGTTGTGGTTCAAGAGTTAAAAAGTCTTTTGGTTTTAAACAGAAAATGGAAACCTCACCAAGACATACAGATAATTCTGTAAACAATACATGAATGTATAATTAAACATATAAAAATACTGTTATTGTATTTATATCATTATGATGTTCTCTTTAATGTCCACACTCTGGCTTCAAAGGAAGAAGCAATTTTACTAAGCCAAGCATTTAAGCACCAGTTTTTTAAAACACAAACCTTTTCTTTTGCTTCCAGAATTTTTGCCTCCAAATCAGCTGGTATTATTTTGCCTCTGTAATTATCACAGAAACATAAAGGCAAAGAAAGTTAAAGAATGTATATGTAAATAATAGCTGCAGTTGAAATAATTTAATAGGATTTTCTCAACAGGCCATTAACAACTTGACACACTGTACTAAATCAGTCCTTAAACACAATAAAACAAATTTAACACATGAACACATTTAATCTATCAAAACTTTAGCATTCATCCTACCTTTCATCGCATTTTATCAAAATAACATTGTCTGTTCCAAATCCAAGTGTAGCTCCAGCTTTCTTTATTGAGTAGTGACTCTGCAGCAAACAAATGAACATGAAATGGAGAGGTTGTTTAATGGTGAAGCATTTTCACAACATATGTCATGTTATGACATGTGTTGTGAAAATGTAAACTTATGTAAATTAAGAATCAGCAGTGTATTAAGCTCACATGCTCTGAGGTAAAGAGAACCAGTTTAGGGACTGCAGCCATGCCTTTGGTTTTAACTTCAGGGAAATACTTGTAGCGTGCAGCCATTATGCTGTACATGTTGGAGATCGCTCCTCCTGTGAATGAACAAATAAATGAGTAATACAATAGTGATAATGACAACAAAAAGTATATTATACCACAGACATTTGTGTCTCATTTGCATAATGCAGTGAAAGTGGCAGTGAGCTATGAAAAAACATTTCTCTGAAATGCACTGGCATCTGTCTGAATAGCACAGGACAGACTCTCGAGAAAGCCAGAGTAACAATCAGAATTTCTTAAGTGCCATCTCTTTCAATTGCTATCATTTTGTAACACATTCCTAAAAAGTTCAGCTTCCATTGTGCTGCTTTTGTGCAAACTTCTTGTTTGCAAGAACAATAGGAACTTACTAACTTTTCTGAGATTGAAGAAATGTCATATATTTCATGGATTTATCCCATCTTACTGTAGATGTAGAAGTAGATGCTGAAAGGTAGATTTCTACAGCTGAGCTACTTCTTCTAAACTCCCTCACAGTCACTTATGGGAAAGAGGCACATCACAGGCTATGATTCACCTAATCTATTTTCACACTTAATTTTGAAGAATTTGAATACAGGGAAAGCACCTTTTTATCTTGGTTTGCTGCGAAAAAGAGCCCTGAACAATTAGCTCAGTTCTTTGGTGCAGACCTCAAGCTTTAATACGATCAATCTCATGCCTAAGCCTAGGATGACTTCTTCCTCTGAAATGTCATTGATGAGAACACTGAATTATCTGTACTTTTCTAGCAGATAGGAATGGAGTGTGCACTTTCTGTGGGCTGTTCCAAAATGAGGTGGTTTTGTCCTTTATGCTCTGTGACAGGATGGTGTTCCCTCATGCCAAACCTAGAAAAGTCCTGCTGGGCATCCACATTGTCCACACATTGACCCAGGACCTTCACATGTTTCATCACCAGTCATTTCTGTCACTGCCTTTATGTTCCTTGCATGGGAAGACACATTGTCCTGGTCTTTACACCACAGTCATACTTGTGAATGCAATCAGATTATATCCCAGATAACAAGTCCCAGAAAGTGACAGACAACCACAAACTTTTTCTGACTGTGAGCCCAAATCCTCGCTGACCACCAAAGAAACCAGTATATGATTTTTTAGAACTTCTAGTCAAAAGGAGCTGTGGTTGCTCAGTGCCTCCAGAAATGAAGCTCATAAAAGGGGTATCTAAATGCCTAACTGTATACTGTGGTCAAGTTTTAAATGCCATAATGCATAGCCATACACAGAGATAATTTTTGACCCCAACTATTCTGTGGGATGTTTAAACAAAGCATTCCTACTTCTAAATTGCATATAGTGTGAGTATTCAGACACAGCCTATGTTTATTTTAACTTTCCAAGTTTTAGTCAAACCACCAAAACAGAGAAGAAAAACTCACCAGGTGAGAATATTCCATCACCATCTTTGTTCGACCATCCAATAATCTCCCTCATCTTTCGAAGTGTTATTTGTTCCATGAGGACAAAGACAGGAGCAATTTCATAGGTAAACCTGCATGGATAAAGCAAAAATACCAAATAAGCACAATATAGATACAGATTCTAAAAACACACAATAAATTCCCAGACTGTGATCTTTTGTTAAAACGCTCGAGGTTTCTAAAAGTTTTCCTGTAACTTGAGGTCCTGATCCTGAAACTTTACCCAAACAAAAATCCTCAGGAAGACAATATTGGAAGTACTGATGAATAAAAACTGCAGCATTATATATTTTGCAGCTTTCTATATAGTGAATGTAAAACCTAATGTTCAACATCATAGGGCTGCTGACTTCTGTACAAGTTTGTCCTTTAAAACAACTGTTTCCCAAAGTGCCAATTCCACACTTGTGGAATAACATTCTGCTAAGTCCTTATGAAAACAGTGAACTTCATTGAGCTAAATAAAACCATAATTAGAAGTATTGAGCTAGGGTTTCAAAGTTTAAATATAATTAATTATGTGGATTTATTCTGTTGATGATCTCCAAGGACAACTTACTTCTACAATACAACGTGATCAATAACTGTCAAGAGTAATTACAAATGATGATTTTCTAATTACCAATTACCAAAACCAAGTCAGCAGTCAACTATTGTATCCACCTAATGAGGGCAAAAAACATTACATATCCTGGCATGCCCTGATGTCAGAGTCAGATATGTGGATGGAAATTGACAACCATACAACTATTTTGGTGATCAAGGTAGATGGACAAATTACTACTGCTGTAAACAAATTCTGCTTACTGTCTGTGGGGAAAAAAAAGTAAGGGGGAAAAGGAAGCAGAGAGAAATGAAGAAATCAACCTCTGATTTCCAAAGGAATCTGTAAGAGTATGACACCCTGACACTTCAGGTTTGACTGATATTCTCTGCTTGAATAATTTTGCCAAAACGTCTGTATTGTCTCTCTAATACTAAAATGATATTTTGAGAACAGGTACTTGAATGAGACATGATATTGAGAAGGAAACAAGTGTCTGAAAAAGCTTGTCCTTTATTTACAGCTACACTGGTTGCTTCCACTGTTAATATTTTCTTCAATTTTTATGTGTCCTTAGTCCATCAGAGAAACACAACCATTATTCTTAAAATATTCCCTTAATATTAAAGATTTCTAATTTGTTTAATTATTGTGACTGCTATTTTCAAAGCCAAAATACTACTTATTTTGTTTTTATCATCATTAGAACTGGCAGAGACACTTCAATACTGATCTGAAGTTTGGGTGCTGCTAATATTTACAAATGGACAAAATTAATAAACCAGTGTCTGCTAATAGTGGTTTGGAGTTGTTTTGTTTTTAAGCACTGCAAGTCTAGAATAGATCCCAATTTTTATTTAGGCAGAATGATCAACTGATGTCCACAGGAACTCAGCAGTCTATAGATCACTGTAGCTCAATACAAGGTACTCTTAAGTCAATGTGATTATTTTTTCCCCACCAGTTTAAAACACATTTTGGGTTTTGTCCTGAGACCTTGCACACTGAATTTTGAATATCTTTAAACACAAAGAAAATACTACTTATTTATTCTATTCTGTAGTTATTTTCTAAGTCTCCAAGAACTGACAAGAAATAAATGATAGTAGATGTTTATAAATTGCAAGGCCAATGAAGCTATATTAGTTGATGGGTATGAATTTACAAATCATGTCTAGTTAAAGTTCATTCCACCTTACTTGTTTTAAACTTAAATTATTTTGAAATATTCTGTAAAACACAAAAAATGTGTTTGGCTTACAAGGAACCATCAAACTTTAGAATCAATCTCCAAAAAAAGCAGATTAGATTTTCCTATAGTTACAACATTTACAGGTATTTCTGTGAATTAACTCACAGTCATGAGTATCAGCTCGTTACTACAGAATGTACTAACTGGTTTCTTGGGAGAAGCCAGTGCTGGCAAAATTCTGCTCTCACATAAAGGACAAATCACTTTATCAGACCAAATTATTCTAGCTACCATTCTTTTGTTGGCCAGCATGTAAAAAGCAGTCTGAGAATAAACACAGAACATTTTACATCAATTTTCTATTCATAAGCATATTTGCACAATACTGAAAACACCCATGTATTCCCTTGTCTCAGCTAACAGCGGGCATAAACAGAACTTCCAGATAATTTTTATTTTTAACCTCAGTTGGCTGCTGCATGGTGACAGAATGCCCTGTGCTACAGAACTGGATGAATAATGAAATTCTGAAATTCCCATGCTGAAGGTCTCATGATTAGAGATTGAGCTATGAATAGCACATTGATACATTATTTCCAAGTCAATGGGGAAAGCTTATTATGTTTATTTTTATATATTATCTTCACAGTGACACTTAAGTAATATTTCCTAATGATAATTTAAAATTTTAAGGGAGTACAGATGTTCTGATTACTCAAAACTCATCTGCAAAAGAAAATACATACTTTTAATTGTTCATAAATATTTTAACTATTGTTTATCTGTAGAAAAGAAAAAATGGCATATCAAAAACATCCCTACTATAATTCAATGTTATGGTTGCTTTTGTGTTATGTGCTCATGTAGCTGTAATAGGTTGGAACAGTTTCTAGGTAAAGGTCAAAACCTGTTCTGGTGTGCTGGAACACTACTCAAAACAAATACCGTGTTCCCCAGAGCTCACAGAGGTGATTGGGTTATTTTTAATAACCTTTTCTGTCAGTTCTTAGAATCATATTTTACAAACATCTTCCTTTAACCTTATTTGCAAGTACTGTGTTACTTGAAAGCACACCATGTCAACTTTGGTTTTCTGAAAAAAGGGCACACTAAGCCTCATGCTAACAAATAGATACTAAATTTTCATGTTCACAGAGAAGTATTTTCAAGATGCATTCTTTTTTAAAGCACAAGTGGTTGAGAAAGTAGCTATTTAACAGCTTACTTTCAAAAAAATAGAAAACATCAATTAAAAAGAGTTCTTTTTTAAGAAGTGACTAATTGAGTGCAATGTTATGAATAATGATGTCAGTACTTCTTTACCTGTCAAAGTCTACCATAGAGCTGAATTCTTTTATGTCTTATCAGATTTGTGTAATTTCACTGATTACAAAAGGATAACTAAACTGGGATAACTAAGTTAGCCAAATGGGCTTGGAAAAAGTGACACTGAAATATATACCAATTTCAGAGAAACAGAGAAACAACCTTTAAGCAAAGTTTTGTTTAGAAATGTGATCAGAACCGTTTTCACTTTGAAATGTGCTGCTAAAAAGGCACCTCAAAGCACTTTAAAGTTTTTACAATACTTGTTTAATAATTAAAACATATATTGTTTTTGTGGATGTTTTTGTTTAGCGTTTTTTGGGGTTTTTTTCGTTAATTGCACTCTGCTGAAAAAAATTCATCATAATTCCTTACACTGACATTTACCTTTCATTAACTCTGAGGTCAAGGAAAATTAGGAAAAGTTTCTTATTTGATGCATTCAGATGTCAAATTTTACTTTTTTTATACTTCCCTTTATTCGTTTACACATGATTTATTAATCTTAGATTAATTCCTTCATTAGCATACAATTATTTTTCAGTGTTACATTTTTAATCATTTTGAAGCTACCCAGAAGCCAACTCTTTACCAGCACATGAACAATAGGTATTGCCTCAGCCTGCTATCTCTGAAGTCAACAGCAGAGAAGAAAATAAATTTTTCCATATCTTGTGTTCTAGTGTTAACATGAATAGCTGCAGACCTGTTCAGTCTAGAGACAAAGCTTTTTTAAAGAAAAGAAAAATATAGAGAAGATTGGTCCAAAAAGGAAAAGTAATTTCCGGTTACTATATTAGAATAATCATGTTTTACTTACCATGTCCTCTCAGATATTTGCATTTCTATTTATAAGAAACATAAAACTGTTCAGTTTCATGTAATTATTTTCATTGTCTTACAGACATGACATATTTTTTTCTGGAAGATGTAACATTCATCATTTAAAAATGAAAATTGTTCATATCTGTGACAATACATATCTACCATGATACATGGCAGCCCATGTAAGCACCAGTCCCAGACACTGGTGACAAGACACTGCTTACATGTTTGTGTTAGCAGTAGATGTCAGCCACTCCCCAGCCAAGCCAATAATGTCCAGTCCTGTGGACAGCTGATTGAAAAAGCGAGGGTGACCTGTAAAGAGAATTGAGAGCAACTTAGAACAAACTCTACCGGCATCTCTCAGGTTTCAAATTTAAACCACCTACCTTTTCTGATAAAAACCACAGAATACCTGCAGCAAAGTTTTCAAAGCAAGTCCTGCTTATGGGGAGACTGATAGCCAACATTCATGGGTGTCTTATTACAAACTTCAAAAAATGCTTCGGATCTGAGCTCCTGTATGGAATCATTTGCCTTCAAAAGAGAACCTCAGAATCGACGGCTGTAAACACCGCTGGGACCTGCCCAGGGGCCTGGGCTAGCCCATCTCCAGAGCCCTTTTCCGACCTCTGCGGTGCTGAGAGCTCGGGAGAGGAGTACACGGTGGGGGACACCCCCTTGGCAGTAACAACCCCAGGTGCCGGGGCTACTTGCATTTGAATGGAGCAAGAGAGGAAGGCTCAGGCGCTTGAACTGGGGCTGCAGGAGTGAGACAGGGCTGCGGAGGAGCCAGTCTCTTCCCGAGTACAAGGACACGGGAGAGACGTTTTGCGGGGTCTCGGCAGCAAGGTCCCAGCGCTGCAGAGGGGGGACAGGGCCCCGCAAGAGGCCCTCGCCTCGGGCCCTTTCCCCACATTGTCTATGAGCTAGAATTCACCTCATTAAACAGTTTGCTATTGAACTGAAGCAAATCACATCCCTGTGTTTCAGCAGAAGTTGCTTTAACGACTTTCATAAGCAATAATCCCGAGTCTCGGGGACCTACTTTTCTAGCATGAAGAGAGGAAACTCCTAACAACCGGTACCGGCTGCTGAGGGGAGGTGGGGGGTTGCCATGATTTAGACCTCTCTGCTCTCTGGAGAAGGACACGCAGATAGCACACTGGGGACAGCCCGGCCCTAGAAGAGAGGTCAGGTCTCGAAGCCTGGAGGGGACCCTGTCAGGTCGGATTCGGTTCAACACGAGGAACATCAGCATCTTTTGACATGAAGAAACAAATGCGATTCTGCCCCGAGCGATGTCAGCAGAAATCTTTCGGAGGCGTGAGCCTGCCGGCGCTGCCACATCGCGACACTTCCCGAAGAGGACACGCCGCAGCCGGGGGTCTGCTCCCGCCCGAGGAACCCACGGCTCGGGGCTAGAGCCCAGAAATACCACCGCGGCTTGCCTGTTTGCTTCACAAATCAGCGCTTCTCTCCCTTTTCAGGACACACTGACGGGCAAGTTATCTTCAGCGACATTTCGCTGACCTCCCATAGCTGTTAATGAGCCCGCGATCTCCTAAGGCTGGGCTGCAGATTCAGACCCGGTGACTTTGAAGGGAGTTAGAGAGAGAGTGCGAGCCCCGGGAGCCCACAGCAGAATGCGTGTCCTGGGCACTCAGGCGATCCGAGCAGCACTTTAAAGCTGCACCACACACCGCTTTGAACAGAGCTTGTGTCCGGTCGGATACCTGCCCCTGAGGTCCTGGGGACACGTCCTGCTGGCCCACAGAAGCTCCAGGGGAGGTTGGGGTGAGGGGAGGAGGCTGCACGACTTGCGGCACAATAAAGAGCAGAATAATGGTGCAAGCACACAGAGCGCAGCCACTCTGACTTAACCTCAGGCCACCTGCCCAACAACCCAAGCGTTTGGGAGTAAAACACTCTCGCCTTTGATTAAGAGTACAAAAATCAAAGTATACGCCTGACTCCAGTAAATCGATCAAACCATCATGTAAATAGGAAAAAGGACAGAACGCTACGCCACATCCGTTGTCAAGATTTTGCTCCTTGAATGCACTGCATTGGGTCTTCACGGCTCCAAAACTAAGCACAGCAGAAAGCTGCGGCCCGTCCTTCAGGAGCCATGGCTCGCAGCTGCCCGGCCGGAGAGCGCCGGGAAACAGCCCCCGGCCCGAGCTCCCGCCCTCCGGCTCCGCGGGGAGATCCCCGCCCGCTGCGGCCGAGCCGAGCGGAGCCGAGCCGAGCTGTGCCGTGCCATGCCGTGCCAAAGAGGGCAGCCGGCCAGGCAGAGCTCAGCAGTCCTGAAACGCAGGAGCAAGGCTGGGGACAGGAAACTCGGCGCACTCCATTACCGCTCCAGCTCCTGACCTGCTTGGATACCTACGGCTGTCAGGGCTAGTTGCCAGCCAAGATTCCTTTGGATCCAATGCAAAACATTTCAGGCCAAACAGCCTGAGAGAGCATTGACTTTGCTCTAGAGCCTGGCTACAGCTCACCCAGTCAAATAACTGATCACAATCCGGGATTTCTGTTTGATTCAGAAGGACCTGGACGGCCAGGCCTCCTGGGTAATGGGCTGAAATCCACAGGGTTCCTTTATTGATGATTCCTAGGATTTCAGTCTCTTTTTCATTAAACGTTTGATGAACATAAAGAAGAAAAATTGCAAATTCTGTGTCATTTATGCCCTCATTTACCTAATGATATTGCTCCCTGGAGATACAGACAGCTCGTGTTTCATCAAGTGAAAGAGATTACGTCTTTAAAACTTGTTTCTGTGGTCTAAAAACAGCACTGAGCCCGTCCCGGCAGGGACGGATGGTCATCAATAAATGAAGTTTCTGAGCAGAAACATTTCCAGTGCCTGCAGCCAGCCCTGGAGCCAAGCCTGTACGGAGGCACAGTCATGGCTGTAGAGAGGGTGTGGGCTTACCTCTGTGAGCTGTCAAGCCCTCTTCACCGTGAGCCTGAGAAAAGTCCCAGGAGGGACTCGCCACAGAGTAGCGTGCAAAAACCTACCTGTCCTCACTCCGTATTTCAGGGTGTCCCGACAATCCACCAGAATCTGCTCCAGGGACTCAGGGTTGTCCGAAAGCTCCAGGTTGAAGCCCTCCATGCCCTCCAGAAGCTGGTGTGGGTGGTGGAAGTCCAGCACTTTGGTGGATCTGTCAAAAGTCTTCCTCACGTAATTGAGGAGGATGTCCACAACCTCCAGCAGAAACTGCATGGTCTGCTCCTCACCATTCTTGGAGGGCAACAAATCTGTGGGGCAAACCAGCTGTCAGCACTTGCTTTGGGAGAGAGAAGCAGAGATGAACCAGCCTCGGCTGCCCACAGCGTTCCAAGAACCTGGAAGCCACGGTCCCAGCACTGCCTGGTTGCAGCCGGGCAGACTCCCGGTCCCTCTCACCCCACGGAGAAAGGCAAGCCTAGGTCACCCACAGCAACAGCAGAGGTACCTCCAAGGTGCCTGGCCTAAGAGCACGCCCTGCCACACAAAGGTTGTGTGGTGTGAGGCACTCGACTCCTGTGGGCCAAAAGTACCTGAAATCCACACCTGCCCTTACCTTGCAACATCCCCACCTCCACCCTGCAAAGGGATTGCTTTCCCTTTCCCACTCTTCTTGCAATGGCCCCCTACCAGCAACCATAGGCTGCTTCATTACTATTTTATTAAGGAAGATAAAAACATAGAATTACTCTCCTCCCGGATGCTGGATCTGGAGAAACCCCTGGAACCACTGAAGCTGAGCTGCAGGTGATCAGCACAAAGTACGTAAAACTGCTTTTCAGGCAGCTTGCATACATCACCAATGCAGCTCCCAAAAACACAGACACAGAGCTCCCTTCAAAAACAGCCAAGGAAAAACATGGTCTGAACGTGGCTGCACTTCCAGGGGAGATGAGGGCAGGACTACTAAGGGACATGCCTGAGCTGGAGCAAGGAGAAACTGTAAAGTGTTTACCTCTGGCATACAGATTGGAAAAGTCTGTCTCGGTGCGCCGGAACCTGGATTCCTTCTCACTGTTCTCGCATGCCAGCAGGCTCTTGGATGACTGCTTTTCCTTCAGAGAGCTGACGATCCGGCCCTTGTCTTCCAGGCTGTTGGTCCTTTGCAGGAACCCTACATTATTATTGCAAGGTGCACAGGTCAGAGTTTTCTCACTTCCCAGCATGTTTAGAAATATCTAAAGCAGCTCTCTAGACAACAGTTAAAAGCGGTGTTGGCTCTAGATCTGGCTAATGAGGTCAGGAATAAGGGTATTTATGGGGATTATTTGCCTCCAGGAGGGAGAGTTCAAAATGCCATCAACTGCAAAAACGCAGCCATGCAAAAAACAAAATTTCGTCATTTAGTGCACTGGTAAATTCTTATTAAGTCGATCAGACAGATTCCACTTCAGTAATCAGCCACTGGAAGAGAGTTCAGGATGAGTCAATGCTATTTCAGCCTGCAGGCGAAGTTTATGGACCTAGCAGACAGGGGCAATGATGTATGATTAAAATTAGGGCCATTTTCAGTTCTCCTCGTGGTGCTCTCACGCACAAAAGGCATGAGAACAAGCAGCCATTCTGGAGCATCCGTCCTGAGAGTGCTAGAGCTCTGAGGATACCAGTAGCACTCATGTAACCCCACCTTCCTATTATCAGTAAGTACTGATGCGGATTTTCCACCTGAAAAGATGCTTTGATGCTAACAGTAATCATCCCCGGAGGTTTTAAGAGCTCTGCTCTCACCAGGAACTGCATCTTTGGCGCCCAGAACCCGAACACAACTGCTGCTGTTATATGTCATGGCAATAATAAACCCACTCACCCCAAGAATTGTTGGGGCGGGAGCCACACAGAGTCCGCAGCGAGTAATGAGATCTGTCTACTTTAACAAGGCAGGGAGAACAATTAATTTTCTGGATTTGATATATTAAATCTATGATGCCCACTGTGTGGGGCTTTTTGTCATTAAGGACAGCGTCGGATTTTGACCTTCTGGGTTGCACCGAGTGCGCCTGTATGTTTGGAAGGGGCACTACGGTGATGCCGGGTCTCCTTTATTCTTTCTCTTCTTTTAAAACAAGCAACAATCGAAAACAAAGCTCGTCGCGGCTGGGGATATCCGCCAGAGAGGAGGGCTTAGCAGGGAGGAACAACAACGTCCTGAGTTCGCTCACTCGCGTTCCCCCACGCCGCTTCTCTTCAGCGCCCTCCGCTTTCGGGCCATGAGTCCCTGCTCTCCGGAGCCGTGACGGCGGGCCGGGACTGTGGGCACCTTCCATCAGGCCCCCACCGCCGGCCCTACTGGAGCCCTGCATCTTGGGCAGGCTCGGGGCTGAACGTCGGGGGACAAAAGCGAGCGACAGTGAGCTGCTGGGCCAATCGCTCCCGGCGCGGTACCTGTGCCTCGGACCCTGCTGCCAGGCAGGCACTCACGAAAGAGCTGTCGAAAAAGGAGCGCTCGGCTGGCAGGCCCCTCTGCATCAGTTGGGTACCCAGACGAGTCTCCAGGAGGGTCGCTCACAGGTAAGTTTGTAGGAGCCATACTTCCAGTGAACATCTCACGTTTTGCCTTTTAATTCTGATATTCTACTGATTAGTCTTTTTCTGTGATGCTTTTATGGATGAGACATAAACTATTTAAGGGAAACTTCATAAGTTCATAAGTTCAGAGTGCATAAGTTCAGAGTAGCCGTCCATATACTACATATATATATATATATATATATATATATATATATATGTAGTATTTAGTTATGTTGTTACTGCTTCTAATGGCTCTTGCAGCGATCATTAGCTCCTGCAACAGCTAGTGCTATTTTCCTGCTCATTAGGAGAAGCAGCTGATATCAAAGCAGGTGCAGTCTAATCTGAATTATGAATCCTCTTTTACCGGGTTCTGGGGCTTGATTTTGCTTTGTTTTCCCCGCGCCCGTCTTTTTTTCAGGCTCTCAGTAGGATGCTCAGGTGGGACGGGTTCCGTGAGAAGAGACGCCGGCAGGAGCAGCCGCGTTCCGCTCGCCCCGAGAGTCAGGCTCCTCGCACAACTGGCGCTGGGGAAGGAGGGAGCGCCGCTTCAGCAACAGAGGAAGGCTGCAGTCGCACCCAGTTCCACTCCCATCGGGCCCAGCGAGGCCGTGGCTTCGCTGAAGGGTCTGACCTAACCAGAGGCTGCGGGCAGGGAGCTCAGCCCTTGCCCGCACGACTCTGCGGCCGTTCTTCCCCGCGGAGGCTGCCGGGCCCGCTGTGTCCCGAGGCCGGCCGGGGATCAGCTGGGGCTCGCACGGGGCCTGGCAGCTCGCGCCGCGTGGGGACCCGGGGCCGCGCTCGGGAGGCTCGAGGGCGGGGATGAGAGCACGGAAAAAGCCCGAAGGCAGGATCACGCTGTCGGCCGACATCAGCCCAGCCGGCTGTAGTAATGTGCATTCTCTCAAGTCCCTCGGCCACGGCAGTGTCTCGTGGATCTGGAGACTCGGTGTAAGGGGGAGCCCGTGGGACACGGACAGCCCCCGCTCTGGAGCCGCCGCACCATGTCGTTTGCCGAGCCTCTTCCTGGGAGGGTGTGGGACGCTCCACAGAGCCGTCGCGGCTGCAGAGAAGCGTAAGAGCCGGTCCTCGAAGGCTCCTTTCCCTCCGGGGAGAAGCGCATGACTTTAGCCGACCTTTCATCTGTATCCTGCTTGAAAAGCGAGGCCGGGGTAGGAGACTTTCAGCAAGTAGCAGAGTACGAAATAGTGTCCACGCTGCTTCTCCTGGAGCAGCGGAGAGCGCAGCCTTTTTCAGCAGTAGGTCTGTTCCGCAGGTGCATTTTCATCCATGCGCTTAAAGAGACCGGGTTTTCAAGAGCCGAGTCACACCAGATTGGCGAGGGAGTAGCTCGGTGCGCTGCGCGACCACAGATTCAGCGTGATTTCACATCAGGCCTCGCGCAAGGCAGGTGTGTGAGCTCCCCTCGGCACCGCAGCCCCGGGCGGACACATCTTGCGGGCGGGGACAGAGCTGCCGGCTCCCGGCGGCACCGCAGCCAGCGGGGCTGCACGTCGGGGGGGCTGCAGGAGATCGGGACCCGGCCGCGGTCGGGGCGCTTAGCACCACTACCTAAAGTATGCATGGCAGCAAAAATCCTACGGACTCCGGAGACGAGCCCAGTTTCTAACATGCACGGCTGCTTTGGAAGCCCCAGTCTCCCGCGCTGCTCACTGGGTTTGGATTCATCAGCTGGCCGAGGCCAAACAGGAGACGCACCGGAGCAGTTTTACGACGTTGAACATTCCACTGGTGCCAAATGTTAACAGCATCAGTCTCAGCAATAACAATTGCCATGGTGGGAATGTAGCATACAAATCCAGATACAGGGGGAAATCTGCCCATATTTTGGCCGCCGTGACAGTTCATTAAACCGCTTAAAATAGGAGTTAGGTTTTGTTGGGTTTTTTTGGGTGGGTTTTTTTTTTGTTTTTTGGGTGGTTTTTTTTTGTTTTGTTTTGGTTTTTTTGGGGGGAGTTTTTTTGTTTTTGTTGTTTGGTTGGTTTTTTTAGGTGGATATGTGCAGAGACGAAGAGTGGGGGAGGGAAGGGGTCGGGAGGGGTGGGAGTAGTGGTAGCAGCAGTGCTCTTTTCAGGCAGTGGCTTTCAACCAGAAAAGGAAAAAAAGCTAATCCTTAAATCGCTCCGTTATTTAAGAAGAAATTACATACATCTTGGATATGTAATTATTGAAAATGTCAAACCCATAATATACAACTCAGATGGAAGAACCGACTCATTGTTCAAGACCTGCCTTTTCTCTGAGATCAACCCTTATTTAAAGTTTGCATTCAAAATTAATCGATTTCGGTGTGATACACACAATAGGAACAATTCCAAGGCGCCTTTGTGACTATACAATATTTAGGGTCTGGAATGGTATCTTGTGAAAGGTAAGGACAAGGAGGTATCACCTGCAACAGTCAAATGTCAACTCGTTTAGCATGTTTAATTAGGATTCTTGGCAACCTTAATACCTCACTTTGTTTACCATAGGCAACCTTCCCTGTATGTCTTTGTGAAGGTGTTCGATTCAAACAGGAGGGCTCATACAAGCAAAAACAGTGCTCGTCATCAAATCTGAGTATTCCAAAAGGGCATCACGACTATTCAGAGTGTATTCTTCATGTAAAAGAGAAAAGAGCCAACAAAAGAAAACTGAGCAACAAACCACAGCCAGAAATACAGCTTGTATTGAACTCCCTTCACAAAGCCTTCACTATTCTCTCTTATGCCTGTCTCAAATCCAAAATGGTGGGATATTTTATTTTCAAGTGTATTTGATCTCATTGAGAGAAGCTGCGCTGTCCTTCTCTAACCCCCGTAGTCTAGCAACATGGAGCAAGCCTAAATGTGCGTTACTTTATCAGTTCTGCTTGCCGGGCTAAATTAAAATGATGGTGAAAATGCCCATCGCTCCAGCCACTGAGGGGACTGGTAGGGAAATGGTCCATTAAACCCAGATCAGGAGCTATTTATAGAACTAAGCGACTACTCGTTAATGTCGCCAGCGGCTACCAGTGAAATCTCTCACAGACACAGGGCTAAATATTTGCACCCTGATTCTTTTGCGGTTCAAACTTCCAGGTAACAAAACGCTTAATGAATTAACTTCGACTCGAGCAAGCAGGGAAAGAGCTTTAAATGCTCCTTTGCATCGAAAAAAGGTTCGTTTCTCCCACGACATATTCCCCATCCCCCCAAAAGAGACAGAGGAGGAAAAGGGGAAATAATTTCTATGCATAAGGGGATGGGCAAAACAGAATGATTCCCCCATCAGAATATGAAGATTTGACTGTTAGCCTCTGAAAGCGAAGGCGCTACTGACATATCTAGGGAAGGAAGACAGCTTGTTATCTGCAAATGAATCTCTTGCTATAACGTTGCGATCTGATTGTGCATTTGTTTCCCTTCTGCATTTCATGTGCCTGCGCGCTGACTGGCTGCCAGCGCTATCTTACCAGCACAGCAAGCTGACGAATTGCTCTTTAATAAGGCTCTCGTTAATCTTTTTTTTCCCCAGGAGACCCGTATTTTCTAGTCAGATAAGGTTGAAAAATTTCAGACAGTGAGAAGCGGCGAACCGGTCCCCCGGCCCCCGCTTTTCCTCCCACCGGCCTCCCCGGCGGGTCCTGCGCTTTCTTCGCCGGGAGCGCCCGGCGCCTGCACCCCGAGTGTGGCAGGAGGGGCCGCGGGGCCGCCGCCGTCCCTCCCGCGGGGGACAGAGGCCGGGCCACGGCCAGCCCGCGGGAGGGCACGGCGGGGCCGGGGCCGCGGAGCCGCCCTGCGGCCGGCAGGGGGCGGCCGAGGCGGGGCCGCGGGGGCGCTCGGGCCGCGCTGCCCCCGCCGGGGCGGCCGCGCCGTCACGCGTGGCTGTGTGGGGCGTCCTGCGGGGAGGCACGGCCGCACTTACCGCATATCTTCAGCCCGATCTTCCTGGTGCACCCGTGAGCCACGCCGCACCACGAGTCGTAAGCTGGAAGAGAGAGCAGAGTTGTTCCCCTGGGGCGGCGGGGTTGTCCGGCCGCCGCGCCCCACCCCGGTGCCCCGCACGGTTGCATTGCCGTGAGAAAGGGCCGACTCCGAGCCCGGCGGCGCTGGGCGCGGGGCAGCTGGGGCTCGGATGGCAGCGAGGTGACATGCTGGCCTGCCCAGAGGAGAAGAGAAGGCACCCGGGACCCGACATCTCATCATTTACTGGCGGGGCTCCAGGGAAGTAGCAGCTTAAAATAAAGTGGCGTGAAATGGGGTCACAAAAGAGTTCAGGAATTAATTGGGTGAAAAATAGTATTTGACTAGATGATCGGACTCGCATCATTGAGCCTCGGACGGACTGACGGGCCGCCGACGGCCCTACTGGGAGCACACCCCCAGAGGGAACAGGCTGCTTCCCAGTCCCTCGAGTCGCGGCTCACACACGCACCGGTCAGCCCGAGCTGAGCCCACGGGAAGCGGGGAACGAAGCCCAGGACTGAGGTGGAGGGTGCACCGGCCACGGGCACTACCGAGCCTCTCCCGTCTATCGCTCGCGGCACGGGGCAGCCGCAAGTCCGGTAGCGATGGACCCCAGAGGGCGACCGGGGGCGTTGGGGGACGAGGGGAGAAGGTTTCAGAGGAAGCGGGACGAGGACGGCTCACCCAAGCAGGGAGGGCAGCGGCCTGACTGTCGGGAGGGGGAAGCGGGGAAGAGGCACGGCGCTCCCGGCCAGGCGGAGGAGCCCGCTCGGCAGGGGCACTGCCGGTGCCCGGGGGCGGGGAGCCCGTGTGGGCAGGGCAGGATGCTGCTGCCAGCGGTTAGCTTTGTTTTAGCCGTGTGGCCAATTAATTCGATATCTGCGTGTGGCACCTCAGTCGACGGCAGCAGTGCCTGCTATGCGCGCCTGAAACAAGACCCAGTGCTGCCGTTCGCCTCCTTCCCCGTTTTTTCCAGTTTCAGAATAATGACAATAATGACTCCGATGCTCCTGTCTCGTAGCTCTTTCAGGGTAAAAGCTATTACCCGCTCTGCTGTCCCTGACAACCTTTCATTTCTTACTGTTGCCCGCTCTTTGTCTCTGATGCTTCATAGCATCGAGCCTCTTATTGTTTTGTTTTTAATTTTTTTTTTCCTGTAGGCGATGGTCAGAACTGCCTGGCAGGGCTGGGCTATAAACTGATTTCCTATCCACCTGCAGCAGCCTTTGCTTCCCACTCACACCTCAATAACTCAAGGCGAATTCAGAGCAATTAGGAATATAACGCTTTGAAAAGCTGCAATTAGCATCCAAATTTCGCTTGATTACAGGCTTCAGCGTAGGCTGAAAAGAAGCTGCAGAATTAGCATTTATAAAACGTAGCTGGGAGACACCTGCTTTAATACCCTGGTGTAACTTCGCCCTTTAACTGATTCATTTTCTCCGCACCCCTTCCAATATCCCGATTTTTTTGTCCATCTGGGAGGTCAGTTTATTGTCTGTATCTCTCAAACGTGGCTGTAAGACGTTGGCCGGTAAGGTGGGCTTTTCCTCACAGCGTTTTACTCGCCACGGACCGACCTCTCCTGTTCCCAGTAGGAAGATGGTTTCTTTGTGTAGAGCACTTTCCGCACCTTGCTTAATGGCGCGGAACAGGGCTTCACAGATGTATCATTTCGTTTCGAAACTGGTCTTTCTGAGCCTACATGGAGAAAGCCTCCAAAACACTTAAAACGAGGAAAATATTAAAACCTACTTGTAGGTCGCAGATTAGGTGGGGTGGGGTCCGGAGCATCGTTGGAGGACGAGGGAGCGGAGGAAGCCATCCTTTCAGAAAAGCCCCGGTCCTCGGAGCTCGTATTTTCTCGATATTCCTCTGAGGGGTGGGCAGCAAGGAATTTGCTGGAAGGAAGAACAGCGGGTTTAGTCTAGTCTCCTGGAGTACCGCACCAGAGTCCCGTCCAGACGCCAGCGGGCAGCAGCCGCGCAGGTCCCGAGGCGGCGGCAGGACCGGCCGAACCGGGAAAATGCCTCGACAGACTGAAGAGCAAAATCTTCCCTTCGTTAGATTCCAGGGCACTACCCCCGCGCTGGAATGACGGATTTAGCAGAGCATGAAGCCTACAGCAATTATATCGGTGGCCACTGAGCAGGGCAGTTATATGGCTCGCATCAAATGGAGACCAACGTGCAAAGCGGGCGTCGAAATCGCCAGCCCAAACGACCTACAATCCCAAACACAGCCCGCTTCTGGGCTTTACCAAACACACGTCAGGCTAAAGCATTCAGGAAAGACTGACAGATAGAACCCCGCCACCACAAAGGTGCGTTTTGCCCAGGTCCAATGACAGGCGCCGCATACATGTGTATTTGCACACACATGTTTCAGCAAACCGGGGCCACTCTGCTCCAGCACTAACCAGCGATCTCCCGTGCCCCTGCTCGCTTTAGCGGCGCAAATGGCAGGAGAGGCACGTCTGTCTGGGGAAAGGAAGGTGCAGGACCAGACCTCGCTCCTCGCCAGATGTTCAACTCTCTCCTGGCGGACACGGCGTTCCGATAACCAATACAGGGTCGCTGATCGAGAATTGCCGGGTCACTGCCCAGCTCGTCTCTTTGTCCCCACGTCTACCTGCGATTTATTTTCTTCCCCTTGCAAAGAAAATGAAGGTCGCGGTAACGAAAGAATGCTTTCTTTGTTAGCAGCTTTTTTCAAACCGGTAGCTACCGATTCATTTCCACTGCTGGGTGGATGTACACCCGCGTGTAAATGCAATGGATCAATGATTTCAATGGAAAACAGGCATTTAAATTTTTTTAAGACGAGAAAGAAAACAGCCATAAGCAGAAGATATTTTCTAGACAATGCCTAGAAGTGAAGTAACAGGTTAACACTATGTCTAGGGCGGTAGCTGTATCAAAAACCCCGTTATTCCTCTTTTCATACGACAGCGACCAAAACCGATTTTTGGGAGAAAAAAAATGCTCCAGAGGTTCCCAAAGGCTTGAAAAAAATTAGGATGCTGTTTAGAGGACACTTACCGAGGGAGCGAGCGGACGCTCTTATTGCCGTAGTCCAGGTTGGCAGGGCGACTCTAGCCTGGGAGCGACCCGCCGCTTATAAACTCTGCCAGAAACGACGTCGGAATACCAATCGCGCCGCGGAATTTAATGCGAGATGACCTTTTTTTCCAGAAGTGCTCGGATTTGCTTTTTTAAAAGCGTGAATCGCCGGTTGATCTGCTTCGACGCAGGCATGAGTCACAGGACTGCCGCCACCGCCTCCGCGGCGCTCCGCACGGGGGCTGGGGGCCGCTGGGGCGGCGGGCTGGGGCGGGGAAGGGCGGCCCACCGGCCCCGGCTGCTGCCGCTGCTCTGCTTCGCCCCGGGGCGGCGGCTGGGGCTGTCCAGCCGCGGCAGGGGCGGCACCCCGGGCAGGCGGCTCCGCCGTGCGAACCCCTCAGCGGACGGAGCCAGAGGCTTTCCCTAGACAGCACCGGCTTGACCCGAGGTCGCCAGCTGTGCTAACAGGCACCGCACACATCGGCGCGCCGCTGAGGCGACGGGGCCGAACTCCGGCCCCGGCCCTCCCCTGAGCGTGGCGCGGGACTCGAGTGAGCCAGGCGGGGTTCGTGTGAATTGTAGCTTAGCAACACCCCCTGTCCCCCCCTCCGCCGTGCCGAGGGTCTGATGTGACCCGCTGGCTCAGCCCGCCGTTCCCGCGGCTCGCCCGCTCCTCCCCGCCAGAGGGTGGCAGAGGCACGGGTACCGCTGCAGCGAACACCTGGATGCCTGTGACTTGCCCTCAGCGTTGCCATTACGATTTTATAACAGACACCGCTTTGCTAAAACCAGAAGCGTCAAGACAAGAAGCTTTTTACACCCCTGACAACCCCATGTCTGCGTTACTCCTTCCCACTTTCCGAATATGCTCGGCCAACATTTTGTGGTTGTGACCGCGGCGCTGTATTTCAGCATGCCACGGTAGCTACGCAGATGCCTAAACCAAAGGCTTCTCAAAAAGATGTCACGCAAGGGGCTGGGAGGAATCCGCAATGAGAAAAGAGGAGGGGAAACAGCCCGATGGAGCCAGAGAATTTCATCCTGTGCAGGAGATGCTGGGCAGCACAACGAGCAGCAGGGCTGTGTCCTTTCTGAAGGACTCGAGGGAAGTGCAAAAACTTACAAGCCCGTTTGGGAAAGGAAACGATCCGACTGACAGCATTAAGTAGCCAAGACGACTGCTTTGTCGAGCACACTTACTCTCTAGGAACTAGACGGGTAACAAAAACATCGACAGCACAAAGGCCAGTTTTTAAACACAGCTTTACAGATATTAATGGCCCTAGCTAACACGATCTTTTCTCATATCATCATTTTAAAGCTGGTTTCAACCAACTGAGCAAGACATTTGCTCAGTGCAGAGTGTGAGAAATAATAATATAACTAACCATCTTTATAAATGTAAACAAACGTTCAAAGGAAGTCATGGCAGGACTGCAGTGCAAAGAGTCAATGAAAGACCACACAAAGAACCCCTAAGCCATCAGTCTCTATGAAGCGCGACCCGGCCGGGTGGATGCCCGACACGCTTATTCCTTCCCTTCTGGCTTTCCAGAAGTGCGTGTGTCTGGAGTAAACAAACATGGTTTAACATAAATATTTACAACCTTGTAGAACCTGGGGCCCGGGAGGGGAAGGAGCCAGACAATGAAGTCAGCGAGCCTTCCAGGTCACGCTGGAGATACGACTCTTTCCAGCACCTCGAGGAGCCCGGCTGCCCGGCGCTCCCCTCAGCACCGCGGACAGCAGCCGCTCCGGCCCGGCCCCGCAGCCCCGGCAGGGCGAGCAGCACGGTCGGGGCCGCGGGCAGCAGCCTCGCACGGCCCGGGCGGGTGTGCGGAGCGCCCGCTCCCTCCGGCCGTGCAGGAGGACGCCGAGAGCGAACCCCAGCGAGGCCGGCCCCGCCGCCCGCCCCGCGGCCCCTCTGGGTGGCGCTGCACCTCAAGGCCCGGCGCTCCGCAGAGCGCTCGCAGAGCCCGCCCGGCCGCGGCTGCTCCGAGCCCGCGCTCACCACGAGCCGCTCGTCCTGGCCCCGGCGGCGGCAAGGGGACAGCAGCGAACCCTGCGGCTCCTCGCTGCCTCCCTCGCTCGTCTACAGCGTGGCTGTACAGCACGCCTGGAAACGCTTGCTAACTTTCATTTGCAACGGACCCGCCTGAAAATCCGACCTAAACCCGAACCACTCCAGCTCAGAGGCTTCATTCAGAACTCGCCACACCAACTGAAATCATTGAAACACCCTTGCAGAGTGTACACGCCCAGGCTAGGGCACTCAGAGACGTGCCGCTTTCACCGAGAGAGTTGTCTTCCCCTCCAGCTGTGCTGCTCAAGCAATCTGCTATTTTCTCCTTGCATGTGACTGTCCCCTCCCTGAGGCTACTGCTCGAGTGCATTCTATGCACAGGTTACAGAAGATCTGGGCTTTGCTTTCAATCCAGATGTTTATTGAGGGCGTGAAACACACAGAAAAACCATTGATGTACAGTATCATCAAGGCAGTAGGATGAAGATATATAACTCCCTTAGCTGAAGCTTGTAAGCAGCACATCAGTTAGAACTCACTTTAAAAAGCCAGACCACGGGGTATTTCTTGAATTCACCTCCATCCACAAACTGCACATGCTAAAATATGCATCCTGAATACCCTGAATGGGCAAAGGAATGAACGTGATGCAATAAATATCTTTGGCAACAAAGTCTACTCAATAATTATATAGTTTTTATAGATGTGGACATACAAACAATGCTGGAAAAACCCACTATTTGTATTGCAACCTGTAGATTTGAATAGTCACTGTGTTTGGAGCTGTATACAATATTTTAAGAGAGATGAGTGCCTCCTGCCTACACTGTAAGGAGGTCACAACATAGCTCCATGAAATGGAGAGGCAAATAGAGAGAAGTCCCTGTGCCATAACACTTTTTATTTCTTCATATTCTGAACTATAGTCATGTTACATATGCTTTTATCTGCAGGCAGGGCAGCAAATTTGACTTCTGGTGATTATTATTATTGTGGAGGGCTCCCTCCATGAATGCTCTGTGTTGCCTTTTAATTGCCATTTTGTGTGGATTACAAATATTTTAGCAGGCTGGGATTAGGCAAACTCTTCCCTTGAAACTGTATACAATAGTAAGTACACAGAACATCTATGATGTTTCTGGACTTGCAGGTTTGTATTTTTGTCTTTGCAGGCTGTGATTTTTTTTTTTTTTTTTTTTAGTAATACAGCTATAATTTGTAATCCAAAACATTATTACAAAATATATTTCTTGCATCCAGTATCTCTTTCTTTTTCCACGATTTCTGGTATACAAAAACGTCTACTTTACCTGTATCTTAGATAAAATGGAATAATTGAAATAATAAATTTCATTAACTCTTGACATAGAAAAATTGGAAAATTGTTCAAAACTATGTGTTTCAGACCTTTTCTGGCTATCATCTTCAGCACTTAAAAACACAGAAAATAACTTCCTGTATATCTGTAATGAAAAAAATGAACATGCCAAGAGAAAATAAATTAGTGCTTTGATTATTTGGATTACTTGGCCCTGTCCAGAAAATTCTATAAAAGGAAATTTGGTGAAGTCTGTGGATTTATTCTCCTACTCTACAGGTAACTTGCTGTTTTCTGTAACTTGACAAAAATTAATTGAAGATGAATAATATGTTTGCTTTGGGTTTTATGAACAGTCAGCACTGATGTACCCAACTGGCCCATATTTAAGGATCATGCACATCACTTGAATTTCAAAGACAGCTCAATATGAACTGCCAGAGAGAACATTCAGCATTGTTGTGATGAAGGGCATTCAGAAAAGTCTAATCTGAAGCACATTGTTTTACATACTTTGTGGCTTCTACATTGTTTTACATACTTTGTGGCTTCTTGATTCAGGATGTCCCCTTCCTGATCCACGCTGGCATGTCTTGTTGTCCATTTTGATCTGCTTCATCTGAAAAACATCCCAAAGAACAACCCACATCCAGCAGCAGTACAATCCCAAATACCAATACCCCCAAGCAAGCATGGAAAGAAACAAAGAATCCCCTTACTTCCAAGCTGTAACTAAATAAAACTTTTTTTATCTAGATAGATCAAACAAAATTACTTAAATGATTGCAACTTGAAAGAATAACAGAAGTGATAGTACACTGTAAGTCCACTCTCTACCAGTTTTAGGAGACTGCAATTTTACCCTGTATCTGAAAGGAAAATTATTTCCCACCTCCCCCAGTAACCCTGTAGAGCCAAGACAGCTGATGCCTGGATATATTTCCCCTTGTGATATTATAATTGATACATATCACTGAATTATATCTTTCTATCCCATAGGAGGGCATCAGTTTACAATGAGAATGTTCAGCAGTTTCAGGAATGCTGCTGCAGGAGATTGTGCAGTCTGACTCTCCAATCTCAGAACAAATTTGGAGAGCTGGATTCTGGGATTTTTCAACACATGATTATTGAAATTAGGCATATTTCATAAATAATCCTCAGGAAACAAGAAGCATGGGGTTTTCTGTTACTTTAAAAAAAAACTCCACTTCTCAAATCATAATTTAATTTCAGGTACAGGCTTTGCAAGTCTCAAAAGTTTTTGGGATCATTAGAGTTGTGATCTTAGCTAGGATTTTTTGTTTTGTTTTTGTTGGTTGCTTTGGGGTTTTTGTTTGTTTTGGGTTTATTGTTTGTTTAGTTTTGTTTTTTTTTTCCCTTCCCCCCCCCTTTCCTCTCTGGTGGATAAGTCAGGTTATGCCCTGACAAGTTGGTTCATTTGCCCTGGATAGCCATCAGTACTATGGCTATAGCAGACTTCCCACAGCACTGCATTTGAAACCCTTCCTTCCTCTGGTTTCTTTATAGTTACAATATTACAGAAATGGAAAAAAAATTGTTTCCAAAATGGAAGGTTAAGTGCACCTGATTGAAATCCAGAGTTTAAACAAAGCACCAATACCTACATTTTTTAACACGGTGCAGTCAAAGCACAGAAGCACAAACAGGATGGTAGGAACAGCTACAAAGATGGACAACTGGCACACTGTACTCTGAAAAGCACAGTGATATGTGGTTGTCTACCAAGACGTGTTTGTCCAACAGAAAAAAACAGATGGACAGGTAAGAAAAAAAATCCCTTCTCTCTGTTAGATTGAGTAGTTCATCTTCCCTATTCTGAGT